CAGTTTTAAAAAGGAGGTAAAAAGTAAAACCAAACACTCTTTTAACTGCTTGCACAATTCTAGAGGTTTAGGAATAGAAAGCGGAAGGTCAACTCATGCACTCCCAGAGTCTCTGCCATGCCAAAAGACTCATAAAGAACAGTTTATGTATTGTATAGCAGCAAAATCCAGATTCATCTCAGGTCTTTTCAAGCATCTGCTCGCCTATTCTTGACATTTTTGGATGTACACTTTAAAAAACTCTTCAGTAGATACCTAAAAATGTAATGCTTTATGTAATTTTAAGTAAGAAATATTGGAAGTTTGTCCAGGTGACTCAGTCCCCATCATAAAAACAGGCTTTAACATTTCCAGTGTAACATGAATATAAAAGCAAAGTTATAAACATTTTAAAACTTTATGATTAAGAATTAGAGGTTTTTTTAAAAAAAAAAATTCATGCTTAATTCAAATTAAGTCCTTCTGTAAACTCCTGGTAAATGATAGAGGCTGGACATTACAATGCTCCTATGGGCACTGCTAGGACTGCAGTATGGTTTTCATTACAGAGGGGTATGAACTAACAATTTTTATGCTGTTCTACATTAATCCAGATAGCAAGATCTGTAAAACAGACATTGGTTTTCACATATGTATCACTTGCTTGATCATGAGACTCTGATATAAAAACATGTCCCTACCCAAATGTGCATTGGAATGTATTTCCAAATATGAATAAGATCTATCTTAGTAGTAATAGTAGCAGGGCAAGCTACTGTATATAAACAGGGAGCAAACCTTATACTCACTAGCACTGATGATGTTACCTAGCTGGGTAATGAAACTTCTGCAAGCAAACAACCAAGCTCAGAGAGCACCAAGGACTCCACGTAAGATCCATCTGCCCTGCATTGTTTTTAAACAGCCTTTCAAACTCCTAAAACTCTTGTAGTCACAACATATCTGAAGGTTACCAGACTAGAAAGGTTTTATCACAAAAAAACAAACAAACAAACAAACAAAAACCTGTCTTGAGTTTGGTCAGCATTGTGTTTCAGAAGGGTGGAGCAAGGCCGATAAAGAATAATTTATCAATGGCCCCCTTGTCAGTTCATGTTACAAGCAAGATTTAAGCCAGGGCCTCTTGTTTCATTGGAAAAGAATGCAGCTTTTGGGGAAGGAGAGGCATTTCAGCAGTAGAGCATACGGTTTGCAACTAGACAACAGTCAGATTAATCTGATTGAGCCACATGACCTTTCTCCTGAAACAATGGAGACCTTCTGCCAATCACTGGCAGCAATACTAGGTTAGAGGAACCCGTGATCTGTCCACATGGAAGGTGATTTTTTACCAGGATGCCTCAAAGGTATACAAACTGCCCCAGTACTTTTTCCTAATGTTCTATGCCTTCTTTACTTTCTCTTGGTCTTAAAATATACAGCTTCTTTGTGGATTTGCTTAATCCAATAGTTGGCTTTGTTGTAGAAATTGATTTCACTGTTAGCAGTGATTTATTGGTTCTTTTGTATCCTCTTACTTTGTTCAATTAGTAGTTTGATGAACCAGTAAAAGAAACTGCTAGACACTATTCTAGATACATTGCAATAATTAAAATAATATTTATTCCAAGAAATTTAAAATATATTCAGGTACCTCTTTCCAGTGAACAAGAAAGTAACCTGAAAAATATACATTAGATAAGGAAAAAACATGGATCTTCTTTCATTTATTTATAATATTCTGATGCCTACTCTTAATTTTGTAGGTAATTGGCAATTACATTTCTAAATTTACTCCAAAACTAACAACATATTTATAGCTTGCTGGAAGTACACAGAATAAGTTATACTTTTAAGCTTTCTAAAAATGAGTGGCTTAGTATTTCATAACATAGCAATTGTTAATCTTCCATTAAATAGCTACATCAGATACCTAGTTTACACCTAGCTATTTACACTGCCATGTCAATGAAGAAATTATCTCTCTGGATTTCCACTGACAATGATCTCATTATTTTATCATTTTGTGCAATGAATGCATATTATTATAATTAAAATATTTATTGTATTTTTTAAAAAATGTGTTCCAAAGTTGAAATACTATACTTTGTTGACCTCCTGATGAAAGACAGGAATCACAGAGTTCATAGTTTTTCTACTTACATAGCATTTAAATGATAAAATCATATAAGTGAATGACTAATGCCATACATATCTGTCTTCTGATGTATGTTTGGAGACATAGGATGAAATGCTACAGTGTTAGCTTTGCTAACTGGCACTGCAGTCCAACTAGGTAGTAAGTCCAAATGCAACTGAAGACACAAGACTGGAGAAAGTCTCTGTCAGCCTAGAACAGAAGCCTTAAAGTGCTCTTCAAAGAGCTCCTAGGAGGAGAAAAGGAAATGACATTTTTTCTTCTCCAATCTTTGTAATTTCCTCCCTTTATACACTAAGGCTGCAATGCTACAAGGTGCTACAAATGAAAAATAAATCTCATTGAACTCAATTGTCTAGGAATGCTGGGTGTGTGTGTGTGTGCTACAGTTTCTCTATCCTGATCCAAATGAATAGGTGTCATTCAGTGTTATAGGGAAAAATAAAGCACTCAGTACACATATTGCAGCTGTACATTTGAAAGAGGTACTTCCACCATGAAAGATTCAAACACAGCACTTTTTTTCCAATTGCTGAAGCAGCCGCATCTTTTGCAAGATTCACATAGTTATTCCGAAAGTTGTTCCTGGCTATCTTCACGTACAGGTGTATTCAGAAGCACTTCTCTGGGTATAAAGAGAAGCCAAATATCTCTGGAAGCACATGCATGCAGAGACAGCCAAGAAGAGATCCCATCACATAGCTTGTTGAGCACTTTTAGAAGGCAACTGAAATCTGTTTTCTTTGAGCACAGTTTTAATGAAGTTGGTCAATGTTTGTTTAGTCTTTTTACTGGATACTTTCTGAATCTGCTTTTCTATTATTATCATTTGTTGTGGTTTGATTTAATACTAAATCTGTGGTAAGCCATGGTCTGGGCCCAATTTTAGGTGGAAGAGCACAATATAAATGATTTTATAGAAAAGACATAAATGCCTTGGGGATTCCATTAGACTAATGATGACAAAAGAGCACCCATCCAAACTAGACATGTATTTGGAGCATAGGCCCTCCATAGATCACATTTAATGGCTACAAGTACAATAGATGTAACTAAACTTTGACACCAGTAGCAGTATAAATCCTACAAGTTTAGAGCTAAACCCTGTAGTATCCAACAGGGCCAGCTGCTGTCAAGTATTCACAGAACTGCATCCTAAATATTAAAACCCCCTTCTATAAATTTCTCCTGTTGTGCACATATATTTACTTAGTGACAGCTGCATTAGGTTATCAGTGCAATCAAATGAATGCTTCATTCATCACAAAATTAAGTGTAGATTTTTAAAGGAACCTGGGAACTTTACATTAGTGACATTTCTGAAAAGAATATGCACAGATCAACTAAATGGAAATGACCAAACAGGATCTCAGGATCCATCTGTGGCATTCTGATTGCTTGAAAGGGTGGTATTCAATTACTAACTTTGTGAAGAAAGGAGGGAAGTTTTGTAGTATTACAGTACATGAAGTAAAACTATACCAGACTGGAAGTGATCTCCAATCCAAAAATTAGAACTACTACCTCACTATTCCAGAAGTCTTTAGTTGGAGACTCGGGGTATGTTTGCATTAAGAATGAAGTTTCCCAACTTGAAAAGCATACACTTCAAATCCAGCACTATAAACTATTAACTGTGTTAAAAACTATTACCCTTGGAATAAATCATTTGTCTGTGCTGATCAGTCAACAGAATGTGAGGTCTTGTTAAGTGCCCTCAAGGTTTGCCACCTGCATAACTTATCCTGTAATATTTATTTCAGTCTGTTAATTATATAGTCAATCAATTAAAAGCAAGGAATTAATCAACCTCAAGTACTTAGTAATCTATTTTCCTTCTCTGCAGGTTACTCTTCTGATGTCATTTAATATTTTCAACAACGCTTTATTGCTCCTCCTGTTGGAGGAGACTGATGGAGGGAGCACCCTTCGCTTACAGCAAACTGAAGGCCTGGCATTTGCATCTACACAGGCCGCAATTTCTCCCACTTGCCCCTCTTATTATGACTAAGGCTACATGTGAATGAGATTAAAATGCACAATAATAGTAACATCATCAGTAATATGTAATTTGTCTTCATGACAGTAAGTTTAAGCAAAAAAAAAAAGCCATCTGTAATTAATATTGATAGAATATATATATTTTTGTTATCTATTTTCAATACTCTAAGTGAACTAAATATTAGAATGTCAATAATCTTAAATTATATTATATAAGCATCACTGTATCAAAATTTTAAAAAAAAAAAGAGCCATCTGCTGGTAGGAATAAAACTAGTTTTCTCCAGACAGCAGACATTTAA